AGAATCATTTGAATCTTCCACATTAAAAATTGATTGTTGAGTCGTATCTTCATATGATCCATTATTGCCTAAGACACTGCGCAGATCATCTTCGGTCTGAATATTTTGTACGACTTCGCTGGGTAATTTAGTGGTAGAAAGTCCTACTTTAGGATCAAAGCCAAACATAGCCTTGTAAGGTGATTGTTTAATACCAGAATGCAAAGACCTGTTCTTCATAAATTGAATGAATTTTAAACCTGCGGACCATTTAGTGGTTTTATTTTCTCTCATCCAAACAGCGAGCATGTTTTCTATATCCTGGTTTGCTCTTTCCACAGACCCTTGACTCTGGCTATGTCTAGGTTTTCCATGAACTATTTTTAGTTCTGGCCACATTGATGCCAATTCAGTTATAATACGGTTAACAAACTCTCGACCATTGTCGGATTGAAGAATAACAGGAGCGCCGAATGTCAGGAAAATGTCCAAAAGTTGATAAGCAATCTGTTAAAAAATATAAATAAGAATAAATAAATTCCTAATATAACAACTATTAAAAATTATATTAAATAATATTATATTACATAAATAATATAAAAAATAATAATAATAATATAATATTATTATATTTATTATTTATTTTATTTTTTTTATTTTTCTATAATTAACTATATTAATTTGAATGTTCTTTCATTCTTTCACTTTTTCTGTCCCTCATACTCTGAAGTTGTCTTTTATTTATACTTTTGTTTTTTGTTAACATTAGAAAGATTGTATACTAATTATTTTTATTTTATAATAATTAATTCAAAATTATAATGACAAATAGAAATCATCCGAATTTTTTTCACATCTTTTCATTAAAAGACTAAAATTTTCTTAAATATTATGTTTTGTCAAATTGAAATTATTTTTGTTCTTTACTTGAACTCGCAAGAACTCACTGTATATCAAAATATTGACAGTAATAATGAAATATTAACTATGTAAATAAAGCTTTATTAATCTGTTAACAATACTTTATTTCATATTATTTTACTATTAAACTGTGTAAATAAAGGTTTATTAATTGACATTAAACTTTCGTATTTTACAATATTTTCTACATCTCTGTTAATAATATTTTATTTTATATTATTTTACTATTAAATAATTAATTAAATTAATAAGTAATAAAATTTTTTTCTTACCTCTTCTGCACGTTTTGATGTTAGTGGTCGAAGGAGAACAAATTTCGTGAGATGATCTTGATAAACCATGATAAATTTAAATTGTTGATCAGCTTGCGACTGTAAATCGATTAAATCAACTTGGCATCGACTATTCATTTCAGAATGAAGAATTGGTTTTGAAACTAAACCGCGTTTCCTTTTCACTTTTTTCAAATGGCATATTTCGCATTTGGATAAAAACGTGTTCACAACGTCACGCGTTATGTTGGCATATTTTTTGTTTGTTTCGTCCAACATTCTGTCGCGACCTCCATGACCAGTAGCAATATGTGATGCTTCCAAAATATTGAACATTTTTTCGAGAGGAACATAATATTTTATTTCCCCATCATTGCACTTGGCAATTAATTTTGATACACCAGCAACTTCTAATATATCGTACCTTTTTATTCGTCTATATTGCCGACTAGTTTTGGGTCCGTTCAACTTCACTTCATGCATATCTTTTAGTATCTCGTCGTATTCTTCCTCGAGTAATATTTTATAATTTTGTGAATTTTTTAATGCACTGAAAAAATCGTTTTGCCAATTTTCTCTCACGTTATCGTTAGACATATTTAAATATTTACGCGCAAGCGATCGAAAAAAACACTGTGAACACGAGCGAACAATCACTCAAACTGATAGACAGCTGTCGATTACTAATTGCTGTTCGATAATAGACAAATAATTTTGTAAACAATCTGTTTACATTAGTATGCGGCTTTGAATGATCAACTTTTCAATTTGCCTAAATCGACTTGGGCATTTCGCGAAATGACTAGGTATTTCGCGAAATGCCTAGGCAATTTGAGAAATGCCTAAAATTTCTAGGTAAAACTCGAATTTCCTGGCCACTTTTAGGTATTTCCCGATTTGCCTAGGCATTTCGCGAAATGCCTGGACTTCGGGTTTTACCGGTAACATATATATATATACATATACTCAAGCAAAAAATTAGCTTAGCAAATGTATAAGACTTTTCGTACGACATATTGCTTCTGCCATTTTAAATATCTAAAAATATCTAAAAAAAAGTTCCTTTTAATAGAAAACAAACCAATAAACCGCTGAAAAGTTAACGTAGAATAACAGATTAATAATTAATAACAGATTTCAAATGAATAGATGAAATTAAAAAATAGATTATAATTAAAATAACATTAATAAAAAAAATTATAAGTTGAAATAGCAATACCCAATTTGCGGGCTTTACAGTATATAAAGTGTTTTAAATTGAGTTACTTCCAATTAACCAAGAATTGAACTCTATTAAAATTGTAATTCTCCTTCAACGAAGCGTCAGTAAGTGCTAAGAAAACGTAGGGAGAGCGAGGATAACGATTAAATTCGATGATCGTTGTTGATGGAGGGTCAGAAAAGTAAGAAGTGTGGTCCTAGAGGGGTGAATCAGGGCGAGACGCATGGTTACCCATGCATCGTAAAATCCTGAGCCCACAAGACAATTCAGAAAAATCACTTGACTCCCCCTAAAAGCAGGGCTCATGGAACTAATTCCAGATGCTGTACGCGAATTAGAAAAAAGAAGCACATCTAGATGTGAATAATTGCTGCTTAAATGCATCCTTTGCTCTTTTAAAAAAAATGAACAAAAATTAATAAACATTAAACGAAATAAATATAGTTTATTTATTTTTCTTAATAAATATATTATGCATAAATATAAAATTACAAATTAGAATAAAGAAAATTCTAATTAACAGGATTTTCGTACTGTGACTTTTTGTTTATCGGAATCCATGTTAATTTTATTAAGCGATTTCGGAGGGACTAACTTGATTCTTTTTTGTCCTGCCGGAAGGACGTTGGACGTTCTATCATTTAAATAAAAAACAGAAAAGTACGTTTTTTAAATATAACATGTAGTTTTATTTTGCTCTAATTTTCTTTAATGAAACTATTCTTATATTTTTTACAAATTACATTTAATATAAATACGAACTTCACTTAACAATATAATTATTATAATAAGATCTTAACTTATAAATAGTGATTTTCACTCATTATTCATTACGCCCCGGGTGGGTATCCGTCGCACCCCAGCCTGGAGCGTATTGGATAGCTCTGCACTGCTCCAGAAAAACCGTTCTACAAAAAAAGGAGGAGGAATATCGAGACGAATTTTCTTTAAAAGAAAGCTAAAATATTAAAGTCACTTTTCTGCACGGAAAAAATTTCGGTCCACCGGTTGCGCTGCCTATAGTACACCTGTTGTACTAACGATCAGATGTAAATGATATCCCGGATTCCATGCGTCATATGCGCCGAAAACAGGGACGTATATTGTCCCCAATGTTGAAGACAACACTTGAACGTTAACAGAGACAAATGCAGTGAATCAAGAAAATAACTACAATTTTGAATCTCAGTTATTGAATTTTGTGAAGAAATTCTTTTAAGGATATTATTATTGAGTTACACTGCAAAAATAAGTATCTTTTTTTCTTTTTTTTTGCTTAGGGAATTTTGGGAAATCTGCCTACAGATACCTTGGATTCCGCACTCCAAGGTTATGTGGGGTTGGTATGATAAAACAAAAGGAAATATAAAAAAAAGAAAAATAAATCTATAAAAAATTAAATTTAATACACTGGCTGATACTGATTTTTAAGATGCTTTATACGTCTTATTTCTTCTATCTTAAAAAAGTAAGATACTTCCTGTAAGTTTTTTAAAGTATCTTAAATTAAGATGTTTCTGTCTCAATAAGATGTTTAGCTATAAGTTACTTGTGAATTGTAAGATGCGAAAAAATTTAAGTTACTAAAACGTAAGATGCATAAAATGTTTTACATATAAGCCCATAGTTAACCTCAAAACTTTTTTCCCAAAAAATATGCTGAAAATGTGTATGAAGATGCTTTTAACATCTTAAATTAAGATATTTTAAATTACTAAAAAGTGACTACCATAACATCTTAGAAATGACTACCAAAACATCTTAATTAAGATACTTCTTTTTGCAGTGTATATAATTTTATTTAAAATATTGTTATTAAAATTGTAAATTATTTTTGAAAAATTTTTTAAATATCAAAAAAAAAATTATTTTGTTAAATAAGAATTAATATAAAAATAAAATTTTTGAAATGTTTAAAAAATAAGGTTAAAATAAAAAAAAGTAGTTGTTTAAAAAAATAGTAAAAATATTTTTTTTTGTCTACATATGTTTTAAATGCCTACACTGTAATTATTATCTTTATAAGATAATAATAATGCCATTTTTTCAACAAAATCATATACGCGACAGCGCATGTACAATATAGCACTGGTCCCAGATTTGGAGACAAATGTTAGACTCCATTCAAAGTTCAACGCTTGCGCAGCATTAACACGACTGACGCACCGAAACAGGGACGAAATATGTCTCGGTTTAAGGGATAAAATTTGAATCGGCTACTAACACAACGGATGTACCTTAACGTACAAACGGTGTACCAAAATTTTTTCCGTGTGTCTGCGGGATAAACATTCAATTAATCGTGTACATGAGGAAGTAAAACAACAAAGAGCAAAAAGTTATTCATAACACACAAGTCTCTCCTACAACTTATAAAAGAATAATACGTTTCTATATTTTGAGGTTTGAAACTTTAATTGACCCAGCATTTTTTACCCATTTGGAAATTTTAAGATAAACATTTACACTTAACCTATATCGTAAGCTGAATGTACTTCCCTATTTATAATAATAACTTAATTCAAATTATAAATTGCAAAAATATTTTATAAAAAATGAAATATGTAAACCATTAAACTAAAAAAGTGATGAAATATTCATTACAGGTTAAAGTTCCGGGAAGTGGAGCAAGAGGATGGTTCGATGCGTCTCATGAAACGAGTAATTGGCTCAAGTACATTCGAAGCACATCGAGTTCACACACGATCAACATGCGATATGTTCTCATTGGAGGAGAGGTAATTAGAATTTTGATAATTCATGATCTATATTTCTTAATTGATTAACTATAACACAGTCAATTCACTGAAAATTCTTCAATAGATTAAATAATGAGTTTCAATCTGCTACTGTAAACAATGCCTCAATGTAGATGTAATTTACAACCTACTCTAAAAAGCAACTGTCGTTCAAATAATAACGTCAGTTGTGACTAATTTCACGAATAATGATACAACGAAAATTAATCAGCTTGTGCCAAAAATTTCTCTTGGCACGAGCCATTACCATCAGTTTCGGTTGATTTCACACATTCGTGAGTAAGTTTGAAAAAATTTATTTATTTTTACGATTTCTAGAAATTCCGGTGAATTGGCTTTTTAATCCCTCTTTTGAACCTAAAAACCATGCAGAAACATTCATATTCCGATGTTTAGAGGTTGAATAGAAAAAATTTTGACATATAGGGCTAAAAATTAATATACCTATACTTTTTTACCCAGAGGACTAAAAATTTGTATACTTATGTATTTTAATGAGTAGATTACAGGGAAATTTTTTAATACTGACTCCCACTTTTACAAACTATATTTCTTTCAGTGGACCTAGCGTAAAGGTAACGCAGCTGAACAGTTGGATGTATTATTCAAGAAATAATTTTCCCTCCCAATTAACCCATTAATGTCCAAATGTACAATTTTTTGTCACAAACTTTGAAACTATATTTTAACATAAAAACTCTAAAGAAAAAATTCCGCAATAGTGATTTCTTATAGGGCAAAAACCGCTCTTTCTAATGGTGTGTCGCAAAATTTTATAAAGTTATAATAACGTAGAGTGTTTTCAGGACCTTAATTTTTGTCAAATAAAATTGTTTATATTGTGGCCTTGGGTCCAAGGCCCCAAGGCCACAATATAAACAATTTTATTTGATAAAGTTATAATTAAATAAATTACACATGTTTAAAAAAAACGTGAAATTTTTATGTTTTTTTAATTTTTTGAGGCGCATGATTATTCCCCAAATGTCATTTAACCGAACTGTCATTTTACCGAATTGCATTTATCCTAACTGTCATTGTTCCGAAATGTCATTTTATCGAATTGTCATTTTTACGAAATGTAACTTTTGTGAATCGCCATTTTTACGAATTGTCACTTTTGAGAAAAGTTATTTTTGCGAATTGTCATTTATGCGAACTGCCTTTTTTTCGAATTGTCATTTTTACGAAATGGCAATTCTCAACAGTGACATTTCGTAAAAATGACAATTCGAAAAAATGGCAGTTCGCATAAATGACAATTCGCAAAAGTGACAATTCTTAAAAATGACAATTCGTGAAAATGACATTTCGTAAAAATGCCAATTCGAAAAAATGACATTTCGGAACAATAACGATTCGTAAAAATTACAATTCGTAAAAATAATAATTAGCAAAAATGACTTTTCGCAAAAGTGGCAATTCGTAAAAATAACGATTCGCAAAAGTGATATTTCGATAAAATGAGACGCATGATTATTCCCGAAATCTTTTTTGACCAAATAGGTATTGATATAAAACTGCTTAACTTAAAATTCACATAATATGCACATTATTTGACATAAATTTCATTGTACACAAAAACCATTTAACATAAATATCATTTGTCATAGAATTCATTAAACAAAAATATTATGTTACATAAAACTCAGATAACTTAATTCCCATTTGACATAAAAATCATTTAACATAAATTTCTTTTGACATAAAATTCATTTAACGTAAATTTTATTCGTTATAAAATTCATTTGACATCAATTTCATTTGGCATAAATGTCATTTAACGTAATTCTTATTTGACATAAATATCATTAGACATAAAATTAGCTTGACATAAATTTCATTTGATATAAATTTCATTTGACGGATAACTCATTACACATAATTCTCATTTGACATAAAATTCAGTTGTCACAGATTTTATTTTACATAAAGATCATTTGACATTGAAATATAGACGCGAATTTTAAAATTGGCGAATCACAATGTTGTTGATAATATCTAATTGGTTACTTTTAAAATTCGAGCCGATATTGTTATGTTAAATGTAATTTGTGTAAAATGATTTTTATGTCAAATGAGAATTTTGTTGAATGACTTTTATGACAAATGAAAATTGTGTTAAATGTCTTTTATGTCAAATGAACTTTATGTCAAATGAATATTATGTTAAATGGGATTTATACCAAATGAAATTTATGTCAAGTAAATTTTATGCCAAATGAGAATTATGTTAAATGGAATTTATGCTAAATGAAATTTATATAAATTTAATTTTACGTTCAATAATAATTATGTTAAATGATATTCACGTCAAATGAAATTTATGTCAAGCTAATTTTATGTCTAATGATATTTATGTCAAATGAGAATTACGTTAAATGACTTTATGCCAAATGAAATTGATGTCAAATGAATTTTATAACAAATAAAATTTACGTTAAATGAATTTTATGTCAAAAGAAATTTATGTTAAATGATTTTTATGTCAATAGAAATTTATGTTACATAATTTTTATGTCAAATGGGAATTAAGTTATCTGAGTTTTATGTAACATAATATTTCTGTTTAATGAATTCTATGACAAATGATATTTATGTTAAATGGTTTTTGTGTGCAATGAAATTTATGTCAAATAATGTGCATATTATGTGAATTTCAAGTTAGGTAGTTTTATATCAAATAACTATTTGGTCAAAAAAGATTTCGGGAATAAGCATGCGTCTCGATAAAATAACAGTTCGAATCAATGCAATTCGGTAAAATGACAGTTCGGTCAAATGACATTTGAAGAATAATCATGTGCCTCACCCTATCAGATATGGGTACTCTGCAAACAAAATTTTCAAAATGGCGGACACAAAATGGCGTCTAAAGCGAAATTTTATTTACAATATCGTAGCCATATGAACAAAATCCCAAAACTTAATAAATTTCTTTAAAATTTTACAAATAAGTGTTTTTGAAGTCCCTGATGATGACGAAATCAAAGTCAAAGTTTAAAAATTCAAAATGTTGAATCCAACATGGCAGATTCGTTGGAAATTTGTTACTCGAGGGTTTTTTAGGGTCGCTGATTACGAATCTAAAGTTAGATTTAGAAAATTCAAAATGGCGGATCCAATATGGCGGATAAAATTCAATATGGTGAATAAAATTGTTAAAAATTAATTAAATTCATTTGAAAATTGTTACTTGGGGGTTTTCAGGATCGCTGATTACGAATTCAAAGTCAGATTTGAAATATTCTTAATGGCAGATCCAATATGGCGGATAAAATTCAATATGGTGAATAAAATTGTTAAAAACTAATTGGATTCACTTGAAAATTGTTACTCGAGGGTTTTTGGGGTCGCTTGATTACGAATTGGGAATCAGATTTCAAAAATTCAAATTTATAAATGTATTGGATTCGCTTATTTCTAAACAGTGCTGTGAATTCTTGCATGAAAGTATATATTTTGTTTTTGTGTTGCTTGGTTTCACAGAAGTTATACACAATTATATATTTTTTAAAAATATTTTTATATATTCGAATCATAGTCTTTTATTTTAAAGCTTGCCATGGTCGTTTGAAGTTTTAAACTGCAATGTTCTTTTCTATAATATTATTTGGTTTTTGTGTTACTTTGATTAAAGCTTTTGTGATAGTCGTTTGTTTTTTGGTAGTTTTCATCATTCTTGCATAATATTAATTTTCTTTTTTAAATATTTTGATGTATTCGAATGATAGTTTTTTGTTTTAAGACTTTAAGTACTGAGTAACGAATTTCAGACAAATCCAATCAATTTTTTAATTATGTCGTCCGCCATATTGGATTCACCATTTTGATTTTTCTAAATCTGACTTTGAATGCGTAATCAGAGATTCTGAAACCCCTTAAGTAACAATTTTCTATTGAATTCAATTAGTTTTTAACAATTATATTCGCCATATTGAATTTTATCCGCCATATTGGATGCACCATTTTGTATTATCCAAATCTGACTTTGGATTCTTAATTGGTTAGCGCTCCAGAGTCCATCGAGATGGATATATTATCTGACTATTTTTCTCCTTGTGCTATCTTGGAGAGACACATCTTAATTTAGATAATTTGTTTTGAAAATGAATAGCTCAAGATTTGTAATAAGAAAAACAAATATGAAAAAGACAATGTATAAATTAAACAGGAAAGATGGTTTATTTACGCAAATACAATATCTGACGAAAATGTTTCAGGTTATTTATGAGACAGTAAGAGATGTCACAGCCGGTGAGGAGTTATTGTTGGGTATCCGAGAGCCACTTCAACTTCCAGACTTGTTCGGCGAAAATACGACTGAGGACAGGAGCGATCGAGAGACCGGTGTGTATATATATATATATACATATAAAGAGTTTCTTTGACTCTCTTTATGACTTTTCAAACTTTTCAAACAGATAGGAATCGACATTGCCCTACCTCGTGTGCATACGATTAACCCCTGGGGCAGGTGCAAGATCTAAAGTGACGATGAAAGCCGCTAGAGGGTTAGAATCCCAAATCGTTAATCGTGAAAAATACACTCGGCTTTGCACTGGTTACGTACACGCATGCTGAGGCTTGCGCACTTTTTACGCATTTATATGTGTAACGACTCTCGTTATGCTCTGTGACTCTGGCGTGATTCACCTGGTTGTGCGGCCGTTGAGTATTGACCCCACGTGTATATTTACACTCCGATTATATATAAGTATAGCACGAGCTTACAATTATTATCCATTCACATTTCCTTTTTTACCATCCCTGTTTCACTATATATAATTAGCTTTTCATGTTTTTAATTGTTTAGATTTCAACTTTTTTATGCTCCCTAGTAGCAATAGATATTCAAAGATATCATACGAACGTCCAAGTCATATACGGAAATTAGGATATCCCTAAAATGTTCTCAAGATATACATTAACGTCTCTGGACATTAGACTGACCTTTAATTTGCGAATTTTTGAATTTCTTTTATTACACCCTCCTAATTCGGTTCAAAAAAAAATTAGCTGTGCACAAGGACAGCTCATTTAATGAATATATATTAACCCATGCCTTTAGAGGATTAAAGTTTAAATGGGGTTTAACATTCTTCAGACTTTATATTATAACTTTTGTTTTTATTAATTTTTTTGTTTAAAACTCTGCATATTCCTAGTTTAGAATGTGCTAAACATGAATCTGTAGTCAAAATTAAGTTTTGACAGATGACAGCTGTCAAAAAAGCTGTCAAACTTTTAACAATGGGTATTCAAGTATGTTTTTCAAGTATTCTATACATTATTATAAATAAGTTTAAGTATTTTCTAGACTACTGAGATCAAACTCAGTAGCAACATGTCTTTTTGAAAGTTGACAGCTGTCAAGAAAACTTTCAAACATAGAAAATGTTAGTTTTTAAGAAGTTTTACCTTTATTTTCTCAAATAGAAGTATTTTTTAAGTTACAAAGATCAAACCGTATAACGTAATGTTATTTTGATAGCTGACAGCTGTCAAAAATTCTGTCAAACTTTTGAAAAGCTTTCTGCAAGTATTTTACATTAATTTAAATAAGTTCTAGTATTATATAGACTACTGACATCAAACTAAATAGCAATATCTCTTTTTGTCAGATATTGACAAAATTTTTAAAAACTTTGAGTTTTTCGCTGAAAAAATTATGAAGATCAAATCTAATCATGTTTGCTATATTTTTCCTGAAATCTACACACGAAAATACATAAAATAAGCAAAACTGCAGTCCAATAGGCCAAGAATTGTAAAAACGGGGGACACACTAAAAGGGGACACACTTTTTTTTCTAAAACGAAAAAAATTTTTAGTTTTTCGCAAAAAAAATATGAAGATGAACTCCAATAATTTTTTCTGTATGTTGGTTGAAATCTACACGTAAAAATAAATAAAAATGTAAAACGCCAGTCCACTAGATTAAGAATTGTGAGAACCAGCAAGGGTTAAAGTATTTTCGAGCTTGCAAAAAGAGATTTTAGTTTTTCAGTTGTAAACACCATGAAGATCAATACCAAATATGTTCGCTATATTTTTCCTGTAATCCATTTTTGAAAATACATATGCATACCAATTTTTATCTTTCTAGGTAAAAAACTGTGAGCGCTAGGGTGGGGGGGGGGTACATGCCTATTTTTGCGAAAAACGGACAAAATTTGATGTTTTTCGCGGAAAACTCTATGAAGATCAACGCCAATCACGTTCGCTATATTTTTCGTGTAATCTACGCGTGAAAATACATACACGGAAAAAATTCCGGGACATTAGATGCGCCGAGGACAGTGTCAACAGCAGTACATTTCATTTTGCACGTCTGAGGTGCCATTTCGAGATATATCAGACGTACATAATGCACGTCAGATACTCCAAACTGGCACAGATGGCGTGCAAAATAAATGAAGAAGAAAATTTGACACAACCTGTACATCTGACGTGCTGGAAATTTTTCCGTGTACGTGTACCAATGTTTAGCTCTCTAGATGAAAAACAGTGAGCGCTAGGGGGGGGGGTACATGGTCATTTTCCGTAACCGTTTTAATAGGGTTCCTACCGCGGGTACGGAACCCTAAAAATGGTAGTTTATAAGAAATTTTACCTTTATTTTGTCAAATAGAAGTATTTTATAGACTTCTGAGATTACACCGAATAACGGAATGTCATTTTGACAGATGACAGCTGTCAAAAATACTGTCAAACTTTTAAAAACGAGATTTTATAAATAGTTAACTCAATTGCAAGTGTTTTTAAGACACTGAGATTAAATCAAATGACAACATGTCACTTTGATAGTTGACAGTTGACAGCTGTCACAATGCTGTAAAACTTATAGAAATAAACGATAATTTTGAAGAATATTACATCAATTTACTCAAACACGAATGGTTTTTAAATTACCAATATCAAATTTAAAAGAAAAATGAAATATTGACCGTTAATAACTGACAATACAGCTGTAAACTTTTAAAAACAAGAGTTCTTGAAATACTGTACAATAATTTATATATACATTCAACTGTTTTTTGGAGCATTTCGATTGAACCGAAGAATTAGATGTCATCTTGATACTTATAGGTTAGTTGGGTTTTAGTTAATGTCCTGTTGTCCCCATAGGTCAAATAACCATGACATATATTTTGCTATTGATTTACTTAAATAAACATAAATTTACAGCTGTCAACTGTCAAAATTAAATTAAATTTAATTGCAGTGTTTTAGAAACACTTGAAATTGAGTAAAGTATTGCATAATACTTCATAAAATCTCGTTTTTAAAAGTTTGACAATATTTTTGACAGCTGTCATCTTTCAAAATGACATTCCGTTATTCGGTTTGATTTAAGTAGTTTAAAAAATACTTCTATTTGAAAAAATAAAGGTAAAATTTCTTATAAACTACCATTTTCTAAGTTTGGCAGTTTTTCTTTTGACAACTGTCAACTGACAAAAGGAGATGTTGCTATTTAGTTTGATCTCAGTATAGTCCAGAAAATACTAGAACTTATTTAAATTAATGTAAAATACTTGAAGAAATCTTTTCAAAAGTTTGACAGAATTCTTGACAGCTGTCATCTATCAAAATAACATTCCGTTATACGGTTTGATCTTTGTAATTTAAAAATTACTTCTATTTGAGAAAATGAATGTAAAATTTTTTAAAAACTAACATTTTCTATGTTTGACAGTTTTCTTGACAGCTGTCAACTGTCAAAAAGACATGTTGCTACTAAGTTTGATCTTAGTAGTCTAGAAAATACTTAAGCTTGTTTAAATTAATGTAGAATACTTGAAAAAATACTAGAATACCCATTGTTCAAAGTTTGACAGCTGTCATCTGTCAAAATTTAGTTTTGACTACAGATTCGTGTTTAGCACATCTTTAACTAAAAGTATGCAGAGTATTAAACAAAAAAATAAATATTAATATTATGTACGTTTAACATGAATTTTTTTAATTCACATAGGGGAATTTCATATTAAAAAAAATAATAATTACTTTCAATTTTTGTTGACTCAAATTGTTACTCAAATAACTGTTGACTTAAAGTTTAAAGAACATCTTAGAAAAAAGGAAGGAAAATTTTTTTGAATAAATTAAACAGTTTCTAAGATAACATTAAGTTCTATTTCATAGGGGAAAAAACGGTGCCCGATATTTGTTGACCCTCTCCAAACGGAATGGTACTTTAGTGTCTTAATTAATTTTCAGAAATTAACAGTGCTACCAGTGTTGCTTTTAATTGCTACGTTAAGTTGCTCCACTAAAATTGTTCCATAAAAGTGCGCTCCTTCATTAAGATTTTATAATCGACATTCTGAGCACGCGGTATCATTTCAAGGATAAATATTTTAATTGCTGCCATAAAAGGGCACTATTTTAAAAGAACTTTTCATGCAAATTTTTTATATTAAATTTGAAACATTTGAAACTTTTTTTAAAAATTATATTTAATTGTATCAAATAGTGTGGTTAGTATTCTTTAAGAAATATTTTATATTTTAAAATCACTAATAAGCATATATCAAATTTTATTGAAATTCTTTATCAAACAACTGCACATTTAATTAAAATCATATTTCATTGCATATTTATAAAAAATATATCTTGAACAGAATACCTTGAATTTATATTTTATAGGTATTGATGCAATAATAATACATAAATATTTGACCAGAACTGACTGCGGACACTTCCGGAACAGGGTGAACCCCTCAAACAAAACCACAGGGGATTGAAATTTTAAACAATTTGACAAATACAAAAATCAAAAATCTATATACTTCAAAATATTATTTCTTTTCTTTAATCATAATTGAAATTTATATTCAGTAAATAAATTACTTTTAGATGGATTTGTGGTCCAGAAATTTATTATTTTCTGACGATTTAGAATAAAAATTTTTTAATGTAGTGTAAAGCTAATAATAAGAAACAATGACACGAATGGAAATTATCATTCAGTTTATGATAATTAGTAAAAGTATAGCTATTAGCCAAGTTCAACAATAAGCTCTGTTTTAATCGTTGCGACATCTGGATGTCGAATAACTTTTCCCCTCAATTTTACACTCACATACAAACAACGTTTAAACGGAGTATATTATGGCGCAAGACAATCATCGAGCACCGAAAATCATAAACCCTTAACTTTCAGTCTATTTCATTAAATGACATCGTAAAAATTAGGTAAAGTTCTGGAATAGTTTTCAAATTGGTTAAACTGGGCTTCCACTTTAGAAGTTCTGAATTTTGTTCCTTTAAAAATATTCCTATAAATACGTTACTTAAATCAGCAGTTCATATTAAAAATTTATATAGAATATATATAAATA